CACCCCATGATGGCTGCCTGCAGAGGGGCCAATAGGGAATAAAGGCCGTTGGTCCTTAAATATGTCGCCACCGCTGGAGGTAGCATACTGCTGATGGAGACAAGGGACTCTGTTGCCGTAGACGAGGGACCTGCCGTTGGCCGAGATGAGAACGACGGCAGAATACATGCTGGTGATAGACAGTACCGAGCTGCAGCCAAGACCAAGGTGCAGACAAGACCGAGCTGCAGACATGACTGAGGTGCAGACAAGACTGAGCTAGTCAGGAGGACAAGCCTCCGGACACACAGAAGACAGAGTTGATGTACAAGCATAAACAGTGGCAGAAAACTATTATCTGCTATCCTGTCTGGCTTCCTTTCCTAACATATGACTGGGGATTAGAGCCGGTGTGCATGCAGACGCATAATAGCTATCAGCCGCAATAACTCACCGCATGTGGGGGTGGTCCTAGAGGGAGTGTCGCAGACGAGGGTGTCGTGTCCACTTTGCTTGGGAGTCTGTTGCGAGGACCTCTTTGTGGTTGGTGTGACCTGTGACGTGGTTGGTGGGGTAGGTCGTGTGAGCCCCGGCGTAGACTGATTCTCGATTACTGATGAACTGCCTGCTATCACCTGCTCCGCCATTGTTGTGAGAGCCGAAGTCTCCACGGCATTGTAGTTACACTGATGAGGAGTGAAAGAGATGAAACTCTCCACAGACCGAGGACGCTGAGTCGCCTCAAACGGCGAAGGTAGAGATGAAAAGACTGCGGCATTGTCATTGACCTGCTGATAATAGGGCTCATCTTGCGAGTCCATGGACTTTGCCGACAACGTAGGCAGACCACTGAATTAAAAAAAACGACAGTATCCGTGAAAAGCAAACACGATGGACGATTAAAAAGGAAACTCTTCCTAGCTGCTTAAGTAGGTTGGATAGGTTGGCCAGATAAATGATCAGAGTATGTCAGTTCCGTCAACCTTCACTGCGAATCTACAACTCAACCTCGTGTTTACAGATATGGAAACATTTTATACCAGTATGCACTATCACAGTGTTTATTTTGCATATTTATCGTAGCCTTCGGAAAATAAGTAGTTGAATTCCCAAAACCACCCCTCCAGTTGTACGTGCACGCGTCTGTAATTTGACCTCTTCAAGAGGGTGAAAAAAAGTCGCCTTCGAACAAGTTTAACCTGCATCCTGGTGCCGATACGTGCACGACACTTTCGTTCAAATCGAAGGAAACAGACAAGCAGACTTCTACAACATGCTTGAAGGCATCTTGTACGACATCCAATTCACAAAGGAAGAAGAAAGTGCCAGAAAACTACCGTCCCTGAATTTCCTTGTCACGCGCAGACCCAACAGGGAGCTCCGGATCACAGTTAATAGAAAGGCGACTAAATTAGCCCAGGTTCTCAGCTTCCATAGCAAGCACCCAAGAGCGCATAAACTTGGCTGTATTAGAGCACTCTGCCAGAGGGTACAAACACACTGCAGTGAACCTGAAAAACGAGTGCGAGAACAACAACGTCTTCGGAACCGACTGGCAAGTAACGGATACCCGAAGAGCTTCGTCAGCCCTTGCGTCCGCACAGGCTCACGGGGAAAAGACGAAGAAGAGCCACCAACGCTCTGGAACCCCCTACCGTACATAAAAAATTGAGTCAGAAGCAACGGAAAGTATCATTGAAGAGTTCAGCCTGGGTACTGCTCATCATCCGAGAGTTACCATGCGTTCACAGGTCATGCAAATATAGGACTCACTGGATGTAGGTCTGGCGTCATTTATCAAAAGCCATGTCGCGACTGTTCTTGCTATTATACAGGACAGACCAGGCGACGACTTACCTCGCGAATCACGGAGCTCAAATGGGCAGTAAGGACAGGCGACCCACTGTCCCAGATCGCTATCCACATTCTGGAAGAAGGCCACAAATTCGACTTCACGGGCACGCGGATAATGGCACGTGCGGCTAATAAGACGAGGCGAGAACTACTGGAGGCCTGAGTGTCAGACTCCAACTACATTAACAGGCATGTGGATATACTGCCCTGTTATTTTAACCTCCGTGCGCGTGACCAAGAAACACGGGCACACACGCTGTCACGTCAAGAACGCAAGAAACGGTGCCAAGGTCTGCGCATGACCATGACTTTGTTATCACCACCTATGATTAAGGATTCCCGA